GGTCGGGTGGCGCACGGGGGAGACGGGGGGATGCATTCTTGGCAGAGGCGAGCTGGGTGGCGGAAGGAGGGGGCGAGAAGGTGGAGGAAGCAGGTGGGGGTGGTGGTGGTGGTGCTGCTGCTGCTGCCACCATCGCCACCACCTCTGCTGATGCTGGTGGTCCCTTACTCTCTTCTCTTCTCCTTCCCCCGCTTCTCCATCGTCCATAGCTTTACCCTAGAAAGATATGCAGTTTTTCTCTATCTACTCTCCCTTCTCTTTGGCCCCCCCTCCAACCCCACCCTCTATCTTCTCTTTCCTTTCTTCACTCGTTCTCTCCCATCCCCTCCTGTCCTCTCTTCTGGTTTCCCATGTCCACTATTGCTTCGCATTCCTTTTCACCTTCAACCTTTCTGAACCTCTTTTTACCCCACGTTTCTCCCTTCCTCCTTGCCTGGACCTCTTTCTCCCTCCGCCCCTTCACACTGAACTTCAGCAGCTGACGTGGCATCTCCGGGCCTTCCACGTGGCATCAGTGGCACCACTGAGGAAAACATTGGTAGCAGAATGAGCTGGACAGCGGGTGACGGGGCTGATGCCAGCGCCGTTAAATGGGCAGTGGGGGGATTCACCCTCATCTTTCCAGGGCAGGAGCAGCAGGCGCGAGCAGGGCGGGAGAAGCAGGTGGGAGTTGGGAGGGAAGAGCCGGAGGAGCAAATGAGCACGCAAGGGTTGTTCATGAACAGATGATGTCGGGGCGGTAATAGGAGAAGGGGGATGGGGAGATGAAACGAGCCAAGGATGCAGGGGGTGGGGGAGCACGTTTGTAGATGCGGTGGAGTGCATATTGAGGGGTTTGAAGCCTTGCAATGCACGCTGGCAGTGTCTCCGTTGGGTGCCCTGGGAACATCCCAATGCCATGCACTCCGTTAGGACTTTAGTCTCCTTACATTCCTCTTTTTGAAAAAGGCAGTTGCTTAGCTCTCTCAGATCGACATTGAAATCTGCGTGTCCTCGTTTCAAGATCTGGGTCGCGTTGGAGAGAACCAGGCTGCAGAAAGAGTCTGGAAACCCCTTCTGGTCGGATCGACATTGAACTCTCCGTGTACTCTTCCCTGATTTATCCGTCCCTCTCCATCCCTTATCCTTGCCCAGCTCGCCCACCTCGGCCTGCCTGGAATGTGTGCCACAGGTGCCCAGCTCGCCCACTTATTGGACTCCAATAAGTTTCTCGGCTGACGTCTTCTCTGCCTTCGCTCCAAATTTGCCATCGCTGGTGCCGCCGCCTCTCCCCCCCACGCCCATGCCTCCACCTCCACCCCACCCACAACCATGCATCCCTCACTTCCACCCATGGCCATGCTCCCACCCACATCCCGGTCCCTAACCTGGTGAAGGCTGGGTGGTGGTCCTTGGGGCCGGAGGAGGGGAGGAAGGGAGGTTGGAACACGAGGGATGGAGAGGGAGGGACAGGGCATTTCCCATCCCCCTGTCATCCTTTTCACTCTACTACTGCTCGCTTGGAGAAGGGTGGAGATGGGGATGAGAGGGTAGGGGAGGCAGGGCTGGGGACAGGAGTGCCATCTGTCTCTCACTTCCCATCTCCTTGTCATCCATTTCACTCTACCACTGCTAGCTCTGCAGCTCCTGCTGCTGCTGCTGCTGCTGCTCATGGTGCTGCTGCAAGCAACTGTGGACATGATGCTGCGGCATAGGTGGTGATGATGGGCACGATCACACATGAGCATGTCAACCAATCTCATCTGCCATTCTCTTTCTGTTTTACTATAGCAACTCTTCCAGGTCAAACAGAATTCCACTACCACGTAAAGCTCCTCATATTCCTACTGCAGGTATCTGTGCCAGCGGCAGTGGCTTTGACTTGTTCAACTTCCTTGTTCGCCTTCCTTATTCGTTCACCTTGCTACAGCACTTCCAGATAAAGCAAACATCTCCAGTAACGATTGATTTCAGGTAAATGTGTTTCATTTCCTGTGTCACCTCTCGTTTGCCTTCCCTCCTTTCTTCCCTGACCCCACTTGCTGGACTAGAAATGCAAGGTAGGGCTGCACCCGCTGTCACCTCTCTGCATGTACCGCATATTCTGCACCTCTTTGCGCCTTCTTCACTATTTTTAGGACTCCACCCTGTCCGTTGACGAACCCTCTCCCTCCCTTGAGAAACCCCACAATAGCTCCCTTGACAGAAGCACTTCCGAGCACAGCCCCCTTCCTCGCATGCACCTTCCTCCCCTGAGATTGCTACACGCACACACCCACCCGCCTCTCACCCTCCCCTCAACCGTCCGCCCCCAACCGTAAATAGTACGCCTTCTTTGTACCTACAACAATTGCTCCTCCCTGCGCTCTGTCTGGCAGGGCGCCAAGCTACAACTGCCTAGGCCTCTTCTTGTCCCTCCCGGGTCCCCTTTCCTTCTCCCCTGCTGGTGCCGCTGGTGACGCTGTGGCGCCAGGCTTGTGAGCGTGAGGGTGGATGGTGGCAGGGAGAGCATCAGCGGGGTGGATGGCGGTGGTGCTGGTCGTGGTGGCATGGAGGGAAGGGAGGCGAGCAGGGGGCGGTATGCGTGCAGGAAGAGCATGGCTCGAGTGGAGATTGCCACAATGCTTGAAGTGGGTGAGTGATGCCACGTGGAACAAATTTCTATCAGGCATTATTGCTGAATATCCAAAATAAGCCTTCCCAGCTACTATTATCAATGTCTGCATCCTTTAAGGTTGTGAGGTTGTGCATTGAAATTTTCTATTTGAGATCTCCGTGCTACTGCTAACTTCGCTGCTCATAACATCAGGTCCCACTTGCCCTGAAGCAATTCATGACCAAGAGGTGAGTGGGAGAGCATGGTAGTCGGGTTTGGAAAGGAAGTGCATCAGAGGCATTCAGCTGTCTCAGCAGCACAATCAGAAGAGGGATGCCATAGCTTCGTTTTTTGTTGTTATGCATCAGTCAGGCTACCCGTTGTCTGCCATGCTCTAGCAGCCGACCGTCAGTCCTGTTCATCATGACTCTTTCACAGCGGTAGCATGGCAGGATGGCAGCGTGGCAGCAGACCTCTGTATGTGCTGTTGCTGTCGAAAGTCTAGGCACGAATCAGAAACAGGAAAGGAGGGTTTTCACTAGCAGCAGTTGAGATACATATAGGAAACCCTAATTGGGTTGTACTCGCTATAGAGTACCCCACTACAGGCTAGACAAACATCGACATTCTGACACACCCCCATAGTCAAAGTGGGGTACAATCAACACAACAAGCAGGCAGTGCAATAGTTCACAAGGATAAGCAAAGCTAGAGGCTATCATAGAGGGCAAGTGATGAGGAGGAGAAACTATGGAGGACGAGAAGATGAGAGGCGACGGTTGAAGCTGCAGACACACGGGCAACAGGAGTGCGCAGCACTGACGCTACCAGGCTAAACCCGGGCTACACGGCGACAGGCGCAGCTGGCTCACTGTGCTCCCAGGAGTGCTCACACTGTGGCTACCGGGCGCAGAGCCCCGGACTACACGGCCACAGGGGGTCGTGGCTCTCTGGACTACCAGGAGTGCTCACACTGTGGCTACCGGGCGCAGAGCCCCGGACTACACGGCCACAGGGGGTCGTGGCTCTCTGGACTTCAGACGCTGCGGACGACAAGTCGGCTACCTCCGGTCAACCTCCCCCAACTGTCCCACACCCCTTTCACACACCCCCTGCTGAACCACTAGCACCGCTCACACGCCACCCCCCTCGTACCACTCCGACGGCTCCAACACATCCACCCCCCTCAGCGGCAGCTGCAGCAGTGGGAGACGGAGGAGGAGGAGGAGCAGGGGACGGCTCACACACACGGCACCCCCATACTCTCCACCCCCAAACCCTAACACAGGAGTGCGGTCACAAGCTCGGGGGACGGCGTGCGGCACTGGGGCAGACGGTACGGGCCGCTCACGGGCCTGGCGCAGGCCGGACGAACCGCGCGCGGGCTGCCCGAGCCGCGCGCGGGCCTGGCGCAGCCCGTACGGGCCGCGCGCGGGCCTGGCGCAGCCCGTACGAGCCGCGCGCGGGCCTGGCGCAGGCCGTACGGGCCGCGCGCGGGCCTGGCGCAGGCCGTACGGGCCGCGCGCGGGCCTGGCGCAGGTCGCGCGGGCCGCTACGGGCGACGGGGGGCGACGCGCGGGTCCCCGGGGGCGCTGCGACGGGCGACGGGGGGCGACGCGCGGATCGACGGGGCAGAAAACCGCCGCGCGCCTCGGGGCGCACGGCGGGCAGAAAACCGCCGCGCGCCCCGAGCGCGCGAGAAGCAGAACACGTCGCGCGCCCGGGGCGCGCGATAGGCAGGACAGCAGCGGAAGCATTAGGTGGCGGGCCCATCCACAGGATCGACCCAGGAGGGTCGACCTGCTCTGATAGCATGTCGAAAGTCTAGGCAGGAATCAGAAACAGGAAATGAGGGTTTTCACTAGCAGCAGTTGAGATACATATAGGAAACCCTAATTGGGTTGTACTCGCTATAGAGTACCCCACTGCAGGCTAGACAAACATCGACATTCTGACAGTTGCGCCCTCGCTCAAGAGAGCCCTCGCTCAAGAGAACCACCCTTGCTCTGCAGGCCATCCTGGTGCAGAAGCAAGTTTCCTACTGCCTGCACCACTCTGTATCCTTTCCCACACCACACTATGCTTGCCTTCACATCCTCAAATATGTTCCATGCCCGCATACCTTTGCGCCTTACTGCTCCTTGCAACACTCTCTTAAATCTAGCTGAACCTTCCCTGTAGCATGTGTGTTCTTCTATGTACATGCACATGCATTCAGAGGCAAGAATCTGTTCTGCGTTAGAGAAAAAAGGGCACTCTTGCTCATATGATTGGTCATTGGACAAAGCTACAGCTTTCAATCGTACACAAAACGTCCATAATTACCACCAGTTCTCTATAATGTGTGTGCTGCCAGTAATGAAGCACGATGTCAGATCTGATGTATCCATTCACTGCCGCTGTCACTTTATTACCGTAATTACCGTTAGAACCACCGATACAAAGACCGTGCTCCCGCGACGCGAAGCCTGCCTTCACGGTCGCACAATCTGTCACACCCTTCGGAAATCAAGCGGTCCAGCAGCTTCAGCTGGCCCACGTCTTCCGGCAGAGCCTCCAGCTGCTTGCACCCCTCCAAGTCCAGCACCTGCAGCCGGCTAAGCCAGGCAAAGTTGGCAGGAAGGGATGTGATGGCGGCCTTGCGCACTCGCAGCTCTCGCAGGCGGGCCAGCTGCGTGAGGGACGCAGGGAGGTGCGTGAGCGCGGGGGAGTTGGAGAGAATCAGCTTGCCTAGTCGGGACAGTGCCCCGATGGAATCGGGAAGGGAAGGCATCTTGGGAGCTTTGATTTCCAGGTAGGTGAGCTTTCGGAGAGCTCCGATGGTTGCTGGGATTTCCGTCAATTCAGGCAAGAGAATTTCCAGCTGACGCAGCTCCTGCAAAGTGCAGCTGGAAAACTCCGGAAGGCTCACAACTCCCGTGCTGATGAGCGTGAGGGTGCGCAGGCGAGGCAGGTCCGCCAGTGGGAACGGGAACTCGCCCTCACATGCCAGCATGAGTTTCAGGTGCTCCAGTGAGGAGAGACTGCTTCTGGATAGATCAGTGGGGAAGATCACATTGCTGAAGCTCACAGTGTTAAGGCGGGGGAGAGCATAGGTGCCCGGCAGATGGGTGACCTGCTGGTAACTCCCCAGCCTGAGCGTTTCCAGCGACCCCGGCAGGCACTCCGGAGCCCTTCTCACCAGCGCACAGCCGGTCAGATCCAGCTGCTTCAGCCGCGTCAGATTGATGAGGCTCGTGGGGACGGAGAACAGGCTGCTGCACTCGTCCACCACGAGGGCTTCCAGCCTCAGCAGCGCTGCCACGGACTCTGGGAGCTGCTGAATCCGCGGGCAGGACAGGAGGTAGAGCTTCCGCAGGCGTGTCAACCCCCCCATGGCCTCTGGCAGCTCGGCCAGGTCGCACTCATGAAGCTCCAGGCGTGCGAGTGAAGCCAGCTGCGTGACGGAGGGCGGCAGCAGACGGGGCTCCGTGCAGGATTTGAGGAAGAGTGTGTGCAGGTTGGTGAGCTGGCCCACGTCGTCAGGCAGCACCACGGAGCGACAATCCGCGACGCACAGGCTCTTGAGCGCCGTGAGGGCGCCGAAGTCGTCAGGCAGCTCGTCTAAGGTCGAGCAGTTGATGACCACCAGAGTCTCGAGGGACTGCAGGCGCATCCCAAAAATGGTGAGGGGTGTGACGTAGGTTCTGTGGGGGGGTTGGGGGGATGGAGAGATGGAGAGATGGATAGGGATAAGGGGGGGATGGATAGCGATTGACTGGTTGATGGGCTGACACGGGTGCGAACCTGCCACCACTGGGTATAAGGCAGGAGTGGTGTTGACGCCACAGATGCCGTTGCCTATGGTGGAGGGATTGGGGGTAGTGGAGAGATGGATAGTGATAATGGTACGGACAGTGAGAGTAGAGTGGTGCTGTGTGGGGTCATGTTGGTTGATAGTGTGGTAGAGGCGAACGTAAATTGGGCAGGCAAAAAACTGCGAATCAAATAGACAGAGAAAGGGAGGAAAAAAGACCTGCAATAGAGACACGTGGTTGCTTAGTTTTCTGTGACATCTTGGTATCATGCCTTGCAACGGTCACAACACTGACAACCCCCCAGTTTGACAGGGTATTACTTCAAGCTATTTGTTGTACGTGAGAACTATTTAGAAGAAGGAGCAGTGAAGAAAGGTACCTGCTTCGATGGCCATCTGCATGAAGCTGCAGAATGAAGTAGGGCGTCACTCCCACCGTGCTGTACCCCACCAGCAGCACTATGTGATTCACTACTCCATCGGCGAAGCAATCTGGATCGGCATAGATGAAGCCCTGAAGGTCTTGGAGTCGAAGGAGAGCAGATGAAAAGGGTGACTTCTCAGTCGACTCAAAAGCAATCTGGGCAGTCAGCCTCTTGCGGATCGACACCCGAGACTGACTTGAGCAGATAGAAACCTGGGGGAAACCTGAGGGTGATCTGAGAGTGACCTGCTGGGGACCCATGATTGGCCCCGTTCTCCGTACCACACATGCACCCTTCTCCACCCAGCAGTGACTAGTTGCAGTGAGCAGCAACAGTGACCCATCACAATCCACCTCCTTACTCGCCCCATGCACCTTCTTCACCCACCAAGGAGCCATTGCAGCCCACCTTCTTCCTCACAGCACGAACCTCTTTCTCTCTCTGCTCCTCCGAGAGGAAAAACACTGCCACGGGACACCCAGAAGCCTCGCTCAGCGTCACGTCACCCGTGATCTACCAGTGGCTCACAAGTTTCAAACAGCCCAGCCCATCACCCCTCACTGACTCACAACGCACCTCCTCCTTCTGCGCATCCAACCTTAAGGGGCACCGAGCAGTCCAGCCTCGCGCAGATGGGTCCAGCCTCGCGCAGATGGGTCCAGCCTCGCGCAGATGGGTCCAGCCTCGCCCAGATGGGTCCAGCCTCGCGCAGATGGGTCCAGCCTCGCCCAGATGGGTCCAGCCTCGCCCAGATGGGTCCAGCCTCGCCCAGATGGGTCTAGCCTCTACCCCTCACTCACTCTCAACGCACCTCCTTCTCCTTCTGCACGTCAACCCTCAAAAACCGCCACGGAGCACTCAACAGCCCCAGCCAGCTGCGCCTGCAGCCACACCAGTGACCTGCCGGTGACCCGCAATCTGCCCACTTCCTTGGTACCTCGCACCTGCAACTCCCCCCACTCGCCCTTGAGAAAGAAAACCGCCACGGCGCACCCCGCAGCCTCGCTCACCTTCGCCTGCAGCCTCTGTGGGGGTGAGCAGCGCGCCCTCGTTGTAGGGGTGGGAGTCAGTGGGGCATCAGTTGGTGCAGGAGAAGCAGGTGCGGAGCTGGAGGGGAGTAAAAGGGGGGGGTTGGGTGTGTGTGTGGGGGGGGGGGGGGGAAGGGGGGAGAGAAGAGTTGGGAAGGGTAGACAGCAAAGTGGAATATGAAAGGGATGTGGGAGACGGTGTTGTAGGAGTGCGAAGTCGGTGAGCCAAAGGTTGGTGTTGGCGAGGGGCGGAGCTGGTGGAGGGAGAGGTGGAGGGGGACGGAAGAGGAGGGGGTGGAGGGGGGGAGGGGCGGAGGGTGAGGGTAATGGGTGGTGAAGCGAAGGTGCAGCCTTGGCATGAATTGCACTCAGCAGTTCGCAGGTTCCCCGCCAACAGTGCGCCCGTGGCTGCGGGGGCGGGATTTCATGGGCCAGAGTCGGTATGGGAGAAGCAGGTGCGCAGACCTGGAGGTACAATGGGGGAAGGGTTCGGGAGGTGGGAAGGGGAGAGGAAGAGACAGTCCTTCCTTGGGTGAGCGCAGCGCAGTGCGCCGCCACCGTCGGGGCAGGTGTTGGGGCAGAAGCCATTACAGGAGAAGCAGGTGCGGAGCGGAGCTGAGGACGACAGGAGGGGAGCAGTGCGTTGATGAGAGGGATGCGGGGAGGAGGACACCGCCGAAGGGGCGTGAGTCTGCGAGTGGGGGTGTAGGAGAAGCAGGTGCGGAGCTGGGGGTAAAGGGGAGAAAGGGGGAAGAAGGTAAAGAGGATTGGAAAAAGGTGGTTGGTGCCGTTGTAAGTAATGTGCTTGTGCAGGGGGGCAGATGTCAAGGGTCATATGTTGGTATGTGGGATACACAAACGCCAAGCCTGGATGGAGGGGATGCGACCGGGAGCTGGGTGGCAAAAGGGAATCAGAGTTTGGGAGGGGAGGGGAGGAGATTGAGGGGAGATGGGGATTGAATCTCACCTTCTCAACTCACCTGGCCTGCCCATCAGCTCCCTCCACTAACTCTCACCTCTCCAACTGCCCCCAACCTACAGCGACCCACAGCGGCAATATCGACCTTTCCACCTGCCCCCACCCCACAGCGACTCACCGTGGCTGTGGCAGTACCAGCTTGCCAACCGCCATCGCTGGTAGAGCCAAACGCGTCCTCCTTGGCCTCCGCCAGCCCCATCAGCCCTTTCTCCCCCTCCTCCCCGCCCCATCAGCACCCCCCCCTCCCCCCCCTCCGCCCCGCCCTGCTCGCTGCCGCCACTGCCGCCACCAACGCCGCTTGCGCTGCTTGACGGGGTCCCCGCCCGTCACCTCGTCGCTGCCGCAGCGCTTCCTGCTTTCGCCGTTCTTCTCCCTCGATTTTCTCTTTCTCTATGTCATTTTAACATATATATCCTTCTCGTGTTGTGCTTCCACAGCTTCGATTATCTCGCCAACATCGCGTGGCTGATCGGATTCCGCAAGAACCGGTGGCTTCATCATCAATCGCCGAGCCGCCACTAGTAGCATAACACTCAAAATCGCTTTTCTAAAGCTACTGCGAGGGGAACATGTTTCTTCAGTCGCAGGATCCGCAACTAGGGTTCCGTAGTTCCAGTCGTCTTCCTAAAGCTACTGCCGGGTTTTGAACCCTCAGATTCGCTTTTCGATTGAAGATTAAGGTCGAATCCGGTGAGGTCTCTACAGCTCCGTTCGCTATCCCGTTCGCAATGTGCTGGGAAAGGTACGGCTGCCAGTTTACGCTAACAGGGGGAACAGGAGATTCGAGCAGATTTAATAATTCTTGACGGGGGAGAAAATAAGTCTTTGTGGGCGGCTCGAAGGGTAGGTGGGTCGCACTGTCACAGTCACTGGCGCATTACAAACAGTGTTGACCACTACGGGAAAAACAGGCAGCTTGTGCATCGGGCCTAGGATATGAGGAATCCGCAAGAATGTGGACTGGCAATTCCGTAAGTCTCGAATAGCACAAATTCGACGGGCTAGGCGGAGCCGAAAAGCAAAATAGGATGCAAACAAAGCAAAGCATATAAAAAATGAGGTGCCATAGCTTGGCAAGCAAAGCATTGGAAAACCTAATGCGCGCCGAGCTGATCGGACTTTCGGCATTTCGAATCTCGAGGCTGGTAACAAACAAAACCAGGGTCGGTGATGAGCGAGTTTGTGGCGGAAGTGCTGGCCTCTCCTGCGCCTCCAGACCAGAGACTGGAACACACGAATCTTGGGGCGGGGTTAGCGGGAATGAAAGGTCATGCGCGATTCGCCAACAAGGGGTCGGTTTCGCCAAAGGCAGCACATCACTCTCAATCACAATCGTCACACCCACCCACTCTTCGCCAGGTTCGCCACGGCTCCTTCCTGGTCCTTCCAGTACGTCCGCGTGACGGGGACGGGGGGAGGAGTGAGTTTCACGACACAACTCACGCACGACGAAGGCTGACTGGCGCGAATGATTGTCGAGGTTGGCGGAAGGCCCCTTGCGGGAAGGAACTCTAGTGAGCACAGTCCTCATAAAGCTGCAGCTTCTCAGGGATTCAGCTCAGAAAGCAGCAGCCATCCAGGGAACGGGCACGATGAGGAATCGCTTTCGGTTTCCTGCTAGTTGTGTCGGTGCTAATGGTCATGCTCGTATCTGTCGACCAATCGGTTATTTGTTGCGTGGTTCGCCCATTCACTGGACTGACTGCGAAGGGCGAGAATCGATAGTCTAAGTTTAAGGTTTAAAACCCGGGTCTCATATTTCCTAGTGTATTACACTTGGTTGGGCTAAAGCGCCTGTGATTGGGTAACGATAGGCGAGATTTGTGACGAGCAGTTTGGAAAACACAGACGACACCTCAGTTCGTCTACGCAAAAACCAAACGAGCCCCTCAGGCATGGAAAGCTCCCACACCTAAAAAACAGATCCGGCAGTTCCCTGCGACCAACTGAAACGACAAGACGCAATTCGCCCATGTTCACCAGGAAAAGCAGAGCAAAACTCTCACCTGTCAGTCTTACAACCTCCGCTTAGGATGGTTCCTACGTATGTACCTCCACATCAAGATGCTGGCCTTAGTCGCTAAAACAGTGATATTAGAGACCATTTCGGACCAGATAACAGGGGACTTGCGAACAAATTCTGGTTGCGGATAACGCACTAATTGGCGACCAAGGAATCGTCCAATGTCGGGAACGGTCGCAACGCCATCGCTTGTTACGAGGTAGCCAGTCCGTAACATTCCGAAATGCGTTCTTACTCTTCTATTTACAGCTGTGGAACCCGGAGAGGTGATGTCGCATTTCAGAATGCGCTCGGGTCGTCCATCTACGACAAGCGCGATTGCGTGAAAGGTCTGTGTGCGAGTGGCATGTGTGTGGGGTGTGTGTGAAAGCTTGTGTGCGTGCGAACGTGCGTGCGTGCGTGCGCGAGCGTGCGCGTGCGTGCGTGCGTGCGCTTGCGCGTGCGCGTGCGGCGTGCGTGTGTGCGCGTGTGCGTGCACGTTTGCGTGCGCGTACGCGTGCGTGCGTGCATGCGTGCGTGCGCGCGCGTGCGTGCGTGCGTGCTTGCGTGCACGTGCGTGAGAGCAAGCGTGCATGCGTGCGTGCGTGCGCGTGCGTGCGTGCGTGCGGGTGTGCACCTGTTTGTATTCTTATCATTCAGTGCATGTGCATAAAAATGCACAAGTCATTTTGCCACACGTCCCTCAGCCTTCACATCCCGGTGCTCACACCTCCCTTTCCCCCAACTGCCATCTGCGCCTCGAGACACAACACACATCCTTCCCTCTCTCCCTTCCCTCTCTCCCTTTCCTCTCTCCCATTCACCCTCTCCCCTTCCCTCTCTCCCCTTCCCTCTCTCCCCTTCCTCTCTCCCCTTCACCCTCTCCCCTTCCCTCTCTCCCCTTCCCTCTCTCCCTTTCCTCTCTCCCCTTCACCCTCTCCCTTTCCCTCTCTCCCCTTCCTCTCCCTGTTAACTCACCCTCACCCCCTCCCCTACCAACTTTCCTAATGTCTGCAGCAAGGCTTGCTTGCCAGCCAGCCCTCGCCACGCGCTCACCCTGCTAGCTTTTCTGCCCGAACTGAGGTGTATGTAAGCAGGGGAAGGTGAGGAGGGTGTGGGTGTGGGCGATGGTGAGAGAGGGGAGGGGGAGTGGGAGTAGGAGGTGGGGAGGTTGAGTGCTGTGTTTAGGGCCATGAGTGTGTAGAGCCCTTTCCTTCTCCATCTGCCCTCCTTTTTTTTCATTTCCCCTACTATGCCTTCCCATCTCCTGTCCCTTCCCTTCTCATCCCCTCCCATTCTTCTCATTTGCCCTCCCTTCCTTCCCATCTTGCGTGCCAGCCTCCCTTCCTTGCATCACCCCTACCCTCTTTTGCTCTCCCCGTTCCCCCTTTTTACCACCTTTCTCTTCCTTCACATCTCAACTGCCCTTTTTCTCATCCCTGGAGCCTTCCTTCCTCCCGTCACCTCTCCCTTTGTTCCAGTTACAAGCAGGACTAAGCTAGTCCCAGGCGAGCCTGGCGGAACGGAAGGGACAGGCAAGCAGCAGATGCACGGCCAGATGCACGAAGGCGAGATTGGCGCTAGAGGAGAGATGTACCCCGTATCTTCAAGATATTGCACAAGTGTATACATTCAATAAGTTCTTTAGGTCAGTGCTGTGCTCAATTGCTACAAACTAAATGGATGCATTGAAACCATCTGAGCATCAAGTGTAATATCCTATGAAAGACAAGAGACTAGGCGGGTTTGGCAAGCCTACTTTGCCAACAACTGAGTTTTGAATCTACGCATTAGTCACAAAACTAAGGATGAACTGGTTCTTTGTGGCGCCATGCTGGAACAAGCACATCAACAGGGGGGAGAAAGGGGGGAAGCAGAGGGGAGACAAGTGGGAAAACAGAGCTGAGGCATGGGAGGAAAGCGAGGGGAGGCATGGCATGGGGAAAGAAAGGAGGCAGGGAGGAATTGGGGAAGTGATTGCTTGGCGGAATAGTGTGTGAAAGCAGGGGAAAAAGGTGAAAGGGTTGGCGAAGTGTTGGCTTCATGGGAGGAGCTGGTAGCACGGGATGAGAGGTGACAGCAGAGGGGGAAGGGAGGTGGTAGCACGGGATGAGAGGTGACAGCAGAGGGGGAAGGGAGGTGGTAGCACGGGATGAGAGGTGACAGCAGAGGGGGAAGGGAGGTGGTAGCACGGGATGAGAGGTGACAGCAGAGGGGGAAGGGAGGTGGTAGCACAGGATGAGAGGTGACAGCAGAGGGGGAAGGGAGGTGGTATCACGGGATGAGAGGTGACAGCAGAGGGGGAAGGGAGGTGGTAGCACGGGATGAGAGGTGACAGCAGAGGGGGAAGGGAGGTGGTATCACGGGATGAGAGGTGACAGCAGAGGGGGAAGGGAGGTGGTAGCACGGGATGAGAGGTGACAGCAGAGGGGGAAGGGAGGTGGTAGCACGGGATGAGAGGTGACAGCAGAGGGGGAAGGGAGGTGGTAGCACGGGATGAGAGGTGACAGCAGAGGGGGAAGGGAGGTGGTATCACGGGATGAGAGGTGACAGCAGAGGGGGAAGGGAGGTGGTAGCAGAAAGAGAAAAGAAGGTGATAGCAGAGGGGGAGGGAAAGGGGGATGAGGGAAGGGAAGGGGGATGGGGGAAGGGAAGGGGGATGGGGGAAGGGAAAGGAGGATGCAGGGAAGGGATGGGGGATGGGTAAAGGGAATGGGGGATGGGGGAAGGGAAAGGAGGGTGTGGGGAAGGTAAAGGGGATGTGGTAAGAGAAGGGGGATGGGGGAAGGGAAGGGGGATGGGGGAAGGGAAGGGGGATAGGGAAAGAGAAGGGGATGGGGAAAGGGTAGGCGGATGGGGAAAGGGAAAGGGGATGCGGGAAGGGAAGGGGGATGGGGAAAGAGAAGGGGGATGGGGAAAGAGAAGGGGGATGGGGAAAGAGAAGGGGGATGGGGAAAGAGAAGGGGGATGGGGAAAGAGAAGGGGGATGGGGAAAGAGAAGGGGGATGGGGGAGGGGAAGGCGGATGGGGTTAGGGAAAGGGGATGTGGGAAGGGAAAGGGGTATGGGGATCGGCGCGTCTCCTACGTTTCCTCCCGCCAGTCCCGTCCCGCTCCGTCGCGTTCCCTCCCGCTCCGTCCCGTCATACATCCCGTCCCATCCCGTCCCATCCCGTCCCGTCATGTCCCGTCCCATCCC